TTTATTATTATCATTATAATCAATATCATAATTTTTTTGGTTAATAATAATAATAGTAACAACAATGATTATTATTACTATCATTAATATCATATTCATGTTTGTACATGTATATATGTATATGCATATATATTTACATTAATGAAACAAAGTTCGCTTTCTATAACGGGGAAAAAAAATCCTCTCAAATACTGCAGAAAGCATGTATTTATCTCCATGATTCGTTCTGATTGTTAAAAACATTCGCATAAAAATCACGAAAGTGGACTCGCCTTTATTATATTCATTCTTTTAAATCATAGTAAAATTTGAGAGAGCGAGAGGGGGGAGAGAAAGAGAGAAAGAGGAGAGAGAGAGAAAGAGGGAGAGAGAGGGGGGGGAAAGAGAGAAAGAGGAGAGAGAGGGGAGAGGAGGGGGAGGGAGGAAAGGGAGAGAAAGAGAGAAAAGAGGGGGAGAGAGAGAGAGAAAAAGAAAAATGGGGGGGGGGACAGAGAAGATTCCTACTCCAACTATAGTGTCAGCTTTGTTGTTTGGTCAGCATCTGAATTATAAAGGCAAATTGTCTTTCGAGAGCGTCATTCCTTTTAAAACAGATCTTTCCTATGAAACCCAATGATTACTTGTTATGAATCTTCTTTTGGTTCATTTTGTATGAGTATACTTTCTGCTTCCCAGAGCATTCGTTCGTTTAATGGTTTTTGGTTCATTTTAAATGTTTGGGTTAAAATGTAATTGTTTCGCGTGATACTGCTGTTTCATCTTTCAAACATTAATAAAGCTATTGCATAAAAAAGAAAATTAGTTATAAAACATCTTGCGAGAAAGAAACAGACGCGAAGGATGAAAAATATTGGAGAGATTTAGGAACACGAAAGGCCTTATAAAGGAAAGGAGACCGTATGTATAGGCATCATAGGGGCCGAGAAAATGAATGGGATAACTGAAACCCTGACTCTGCCGATGGCAATATCAAGGTCGGGCGGTTTAATGATGTGTTGCCCACATACGAGCTTTTATTTCTTGAATGTCATTCATTATAATACAACGTTCACTTTTTTTCTTCCGCCTTATTCTTTTCCTTTTTGTCTATTTCATTGCTTCTTTTTCTGATGTTGCTGATGTCAATACCATTTTTTTTTATTACATATTCTCCTTTCGATTTCGATTTACCCCATCCTTCTTACTTTTTCTCTCTTCCTATTTAGTATTTGTGCTTTATACCCTCTTTCCTGACTCATTCCTCTTCGCTATTTCGCTCGACTTTTTAGAATTCGTCTTTTCTCTCTTCTTAAAGCTGCTCGTCTTTCGCTTCTTCCACTCAGAAGGGCCTTGTCATATCTAGAGAGAGAGAGAAGAGAGAGAGAGAGAGAGAGAGAGACAAAGAGAGAGAGAGAAAGAGATTTTGTTGCAAGAAGGAATGTCATCTCTATATTGTTCGCAGATATTTTTTGTCAAAAGCCATTAAATATTGCAGTGCCTCTACTCCATTTTTTGCTCCCAAATGTTCCTGTCTCTTTCCCCTTCCTCGTTTCCTTCTTGCAACGCTACGCTGCTTCCAACGACACTGCGAGGGACTGCTTCGTCTGTTGCAGACCCTTCGTTTATATCTTCGCCCATTTCGCCATCTGAATCTTCGTAAACATGCTTGATTGCTCCGTTGATCTACATTCATGTGCTGAAACAAAACAAATCCGAGTGTGTCTGAAGGAACGATCGCTATGACGTAGCCACAGGATGAACATCAGAAATGTCTTTGATAAATTGGATTTTGCTTGGATTGTGTCGACATGCTCGTCCCATGCGAGAGATTTAGCGGATATATATAATATATATATTATGTTCTTTTCTTCTCTTCTTTTACTTTTCTTCGAAATATTCGTATAGATATTCTTGTTACTGTTATTGTTATTATCATCTTGACCATCATCATCATCATCGTCATTTTCATCATTATTATTTGCTACACATCTTTCTTCTCCTTTCTCTTTCTATTTTCCTCCGCCTATCTAAATTTCTCTATCCCCCTTACTTTCTCTCTCTTCCTTTTTAGTATTCATCCTCTGTTTCCCCTTTCCTGACTCTCTCCTCTTCGCCATTTCGCTCGTCTTTTACGTTGTCTTTTCCCTCCTGTCCTTAAAGCTGTTCGTCTTTCGCTTTCGCACTCAGAAGGGCCTTGTGAAATCACGTGATTTAAGTGTATGGATATTATGCAAAAGAGAACTTTATAAATAGGTACAATTAAAATATTTTCCTTATCAATTCAGGCTAATAATGTTTTCCCTACAATATCAGCTAAATACTTTCACCATGTTTTTTTTATTCATACGCTACCTAAAAAAAAAAAAAAAAAAAAAAAGGAGGATGAAGTCGATTTAAACCAATCCATAAAACGGAAGCATCGCAGCAGCATTCAAAGGAGGAGTTCAAGTCCGAGCATTAGTTTGTGAACAACAAATATCACAAATATCGTCTCTTGTCATTAATCTTTTTATGGTGTAACGGGAAGCACGACGGCCTCGGAAACAGTGGACCCGGGTTCGAGTCCCGGCGAAGACAAGAACCATTAGTTTGTTTTTTTCCTCTTTTAAAATATAAACAAGACACGCGAAACAAGTTCAAAAACAATACATGGATAAAATGGAAATTTAAATGAAGCGATGAATAGAAGATCAGACTCAGGGCTCAGTGGAACGACGATGACTTGCAGATTACAGATTCAGGAGAAAGCCCAGTGAGTTGCATGGCCAAGTGGCGCTATATTGACACAGGGAATGTATAAGAATATATTGTCGGCAGAAAACTATGCATAATAATTATTAAAGAAGAAAAAATCCTGATCTCTGATACCATTTTCTCACAATTTGAAATTTGCGGATCTTTTAATGAATCATTCCTTTCTTGCCTATCATAATAATCACGATTAGGATGAAAGAGATAACGCAACTGATAATAGTTAAATAAGCGTAAGAAAATAGAAATACCAGAAATATAGAGCTCTAATAAGCTGAAATTTTGATGAGACCCGACATGAAACAGCAACCGAAGCATAAAAATAAATTCATATGCCACCGTGTCCTCAGCTAATTCCACTTGCCTTGCTTTTGATGTGGATGTTATCAGAATGTTATTAACAATACTTAAAGCATTTTTTTTATTGATAATTTTTATGGAAATGAAAGAAAGGTGTGAACAGGTGATCTACGTAGGACTCCTAATTGACTCCTCGGTGATTAAGCACAGGTGGAGCCATCTATGTGTTGGACGCAAAGGCAGTTTATATGGCATGCAGTTTCGCTCGAGTCACGTGACCTCTCGAGAGCGGAAGGGAAGCCACTGTCGCCGGCGCGGAGTTGCGGTTCCGCGGCGACCGTTCGAGTCCGCGCTCGAACCCTCACCCACCTGCAGGTCATGTGACCGAACCTCGATGAAACTGATTGGATAGAAGGGTTACGTAAGAAAACGAAATTTGGAGTCTCCTGGTCCAATTTGAGAACGCTGCTGGCGAGGCTTGAACATGGAATATGAACAGAATGAAAGGAACACACATCTCCGCGTTTATCATTCATTCATTTATTTATTCATATATTTGTTTACATTTACATATTACTTTTTCTTTATACACTGTGTGTGTGTGTGTGTGTGTGTGTGTGTGTGTGTGTGTGTGTGTGTGTGTGTGTGTGTGTGTGTGTGTGTTGTGTGTGTGTGCGTGTGTGTGTGTGGTGTGTGTGTGTGTGTGTGGTGTGTGTGCGTGTGCGTGTGTGTGTGTGTGTGTGTGCGTGTGTGTGTGTGTGTGTGTGTGTGTGTGTGTGTGCGTGCTAGTAGCTGTTGGTTTAAGGATCTGATGCCACTCCTGCCACAGGACACAATAACTGCTCACAATCAAACATAATACAGCCTACTCTTTACCTAACACTTCCCCCTCTATCTTTTGTACCATTAATCTGTAAGCATTAACATTTTCAAATGACATAGATATCAATAATATGATAAATAACAGTTAAAACAAACAATATTCGATACCCATTGACGGGACATGCAAGCCGCCAGAATCTCCCTTGGACAAACTGCCTCAGTGGCGCCCTCCCGCTCGGGATGCCGCCAAGGAACAGATCTGACAGACACTGCAGTCAGAGGATCGCGTCTATTTAACTCGATCTGTGCAAAAGGAAGAGAGAGAGAGAGAGAGAGAGAGAGAGAGAGAGAGAGAGAGAGAGAGAGAGAGAGAGAGAGAGAGAGAGAGAGAGAGAGAGAGAGAGAGAGAGAGAGAGAGAGAGAGAGAGGAGAAAGAGAAGAGAAGAGAGAAGAGAGAGAAGAGAGAGAGAGAGAGAGAGAGAGAGAGAGAGAGAGAGAGAGAGAGAGAGAGAGAGAGAGAGAGAGAGAGAGAGAGAGAGAGAGAGAGAGAGAGAGAGAGAGAGAGAGAGAAGAGAGAGAAAGAGAGGAGAAGAGAGAGAGAGAGAGAGAGAGAGAGAGAGAGAGAGAGGAGAGAGAGAGAGAGAGAGAGAGAGAGAGAGAGAGAGAGAGAGAGAGAGAGGGAGAGAGAGAGAGAGAGAGAGAGAGAGAGAGAGAGAGAGAGAGAGAGAGAGAGAGAGAGAGAGAGAGAGAGAGAGAGAGAGAGAGAGAGAGAGAGAGAGAGAGAAGAGAGAGAGAGAGAGAGAGAGAGAGAAGAGAGAGAGAGAGAGAGAGAGAGAGAGAGAGAGAGAGAGAGAGAGAGAGAGAGAGAGAGAGAAGAGAGAGAGAGAGAGAGAGAGAGAGAGAGAGATGAGAGAGAGAGAGAGAGAGAGAGAGAGAGAGAGAGAGAGAGAGAGAGAGAGAAGAGAGAGAGAGAGAGAGAGAGAGAGAGAGAGAGAGAGAGAGAGAGAGAGAGAGAGAGAGAGAGAGAGAGAGAGAGAGAGAGAGAGAGAGAGAGAGAGAGTTCTTACTTTGTGTAAAATATCTAGTGACTTACTTTACTATTTGCTACTAACCTTCACCATCAACTGAACAACAAATCAGCTGTTTTTTGCCATCCATACGATAGTCACCTTGGACTATACCAGCAACTGTTCCTTGGAAATTATCCTGTAAAAAAATCATTATTTGAATTTGTCAATCAATAATCAGACAGGGGATTTTTTATCATTATCTGCGCTGCCTTTCTCACTACAGTATAGTAACATCATCCCAACAGAATTTTCAAAATCTACAAAGTATTGCACAAAACTAAAATTCTCGAAGAGTTCAGCTCAGTCTTTTTCTGAACGTTCTTCTCATGATGTACATAAAAAGGCAAAATAAAGCCCAGAAAACAACGTCTCTTCAGCCTTCGCAGCCACCAGGTTTTGTGCTTCCCCTTCGAGAGGAAATCGCACCGAAGGGCTTTCCTTTCCGGCGGAGTTTCCAAGCGGACGCAGCGCCCGCCAGGGAGGGGGGAGGCAGGTGTCCTGGGGGACTTGGACCCGACCTGCAGAAGCACCGCCGCTCTCGCGTGGTTTCTTCTTGGGTAGCAGTTGGGGGATCTGTACCTCGGGTTTGCTATCTTGCTTGACATTACTTCCCCTTCACCAGTCTCGTGAAACACGACCAAGGGCGACCCGAACGGACTCGGGCGCGGCAGCAGGAGGGAGGGAGTGTGCGGGCAGGGGGCAGGGGAGGGGGCCAGCGGGGGACGGGTGGGGGGAGGCCCAGTCGAAGGAAATCTCTCTGTGTTGCGGGTCGTGCTCGAGTGACAGGCACTTGCGTTGCGGGTGCGGCCCGTGGGTCCAGAGCAAAGACCTTAATCCGCACCCGCAACACAAGTGCCTTTCACTCGAGCACAACCCGCAACACAGAGATCACCTTCGACTGGGCCTCCCCCCCCCCGTCCCCCGCCCCCTCCCCTGCCCCCTGCCCGCACCTCCCCCCCCCCTGCTGCTGCCGCGCCCGAGTTTGGGCAAGTCAGAACAACAACAACAAAAAAAAGGAAATGTTGCGAAAGGATAAATGTCGAAGAATGAAAAAAAAAAAAATGAAAGAGACAGGGAGATGGACAGATAAAGATAGCAAGAGTAACTGACAGTGAGAGAGAGGGGGGAGGGGGCAAGAGAGGGAGAGAGAAAGCGAACTATGTTTCCCTTCCTCCTACAACTGACAGGAACAAACAGACAGTGAAACACGAATTCAATTACCTCTTTTCACCTGTTGATTGGGGCGTCAGGCAGGAGATAAAAACACCGTATGAGGCCAAATGCCGTAGTTGATCATGATTGGGCTGCGGGCCTGCCCTAAACACACCGATTTTTTGACGCGAGAGAGAGACCTCAGACCAGGATTTATCTTTCCATTAATTACGGATCGCACTGACTGTTCCTTCACACGATTCAGGCAGTAAGACGAGTAACTGCCAACGATCACTGGAATGATCGTTCCTGAGGTTCCGACGATGCGCACACGGAGCTCACTGGCGATGGCTATTGTTCTACATATATTGATGCTACGTGAGCTGCCGAATGGCTGGGGAAGGCCTGTGTCCCTGCGTCCTACAACGGATTTTAAAATTGTAAAGATAGATAGATAGATAGATAGCGCTGGCATCTATCGGTAGGATCCCTCTGGTCGCCGTCCCCCGCGGACTCGGGTGGGTCTGGCCCAGGAGAGGGACGGCTTCCCTCCTGGTAGACGTGTACTTTTTGCGCCCGCTATTTTGTGCCAATAAAGACCCCGAAGGAATCTCCAGGGTCTGATTACTACCACGAGACACTGCCAGCGTACATGGCGCTTTGAGGTGAGATCAAGAGCACGCAGGAGTGAAGAGAAAGCGATTGTGGGCGGCGACAACAAGGCGGTGCTCCCTCCGCCTCCGCCGCCAGTGGCTTCGTCAGGAGAGACGTCGGGCGGGTCTGCAAGGTATGGCTTCCCTCAAGATAGTGCCAACCCACAGTAGTGTTTGAATGGAAGTCCAGAGTAGCCAGGTACTTTTTCCGTTTTGTTTGAAGTTGTGTTCCACCTCCTGCAGTTGCTTTGAGGGTAAACGTGTTATTAGCTTCTACTTTATATGCATGGTATATATATATGTATTGTGGATTCACATGAGATACTACGATGCACTTTTTTTTTTTTTTTTTTTTTTTTTTTAAGGGCCCATTTTCTTGCAATTATTTTTTTATGATGAATTATATCTACGAAATAAATTAATATAAGTATATATATATGTATATATATAATATATATATGTGTGTGTGTGTGTGTGTGTGTGTGTGTGTGTGTGTGTGTGTGTGTGTGTGTGTGTGTGTGTGTGTGTGTGTATTATATATAATATATATATATATATATATATATATATATATATTATGTGTGTGTGTGTGTGTGTGTGTGTGTGTGTGTGTGTGTGTGTGTGTGTGTGTGTGTGTGTATGTGTATGTGTATGTGTATATATGTATATGTATATGTATATATATATATATATGTATATCTTTCTCTTCTCTCTCTTTCGCTCTCTCTCTCTCTCTCTCTCTCTCTCTCTCTCTCTCTCTCTCTCTCTCTCTCTCTCTCTCTCTCTCTCTCTTCTCTCTCTCTCTCTCTCTCTCTCTCTCTCTCGTCTCTCTCCCCATCTCTCTCTTTCTCTCTCTCTCTCTCTCACTCTCTCTCTTTCTCTCTCTCTCCTCTCCCTCTCTCTCTCTCTCTCTCCTTCTCTCTCTCTCTCCTCTCCTCTCTCCCTCTCCCTCTCTCCCTCCTCCCTCTCCCTCCTCCCTCTCCTCTCTCCCTCTCTCTCCTCTCTCTCTCTCTCTCTCTCTCTCTCTCTCTCTCTCTCTCTCTCTCTCTCTCTCCTCTCTCTNAACACACACATGCACTAAGAGGAAGAGGAAAGAGAAGGACGAGAAGAGGAGGAGGAAGAGAAAGAGTAAAGAGGAAGAATGAGGAGGAGGAGGAGGGGAGGAGGAGAAAGAAGAAGGAGAAAGAAAGAAGAAGAAGAAGGAGGAGGAAGGAGGAGAAAGAGAAAGAAAGAGAAGAAGAAGAGAGGAGGAGGAAGGAGAGAAGGAGAAGAGAAAGGGAGAGGAGAGGAAAAGAAAGAGAAGGAGGAGGAAGGAGGAGAGAGAAGAGAGAAGAGGAAGGAGAAGGGGGAGGAGGAGGAGAAGAGAGGAGAAGAAAGAGAAGGAGAAGGGGGAGGAGGAGGAGGAAGAAGAGGAGAAGAAAGAAAAGGAGAAGGAGGAGGAGGGGAGGAGAAAAAGAGGAGAAGAAAGAGAAGGAGGAGGAGGAGGAGGAGGAGAAAGAAGAGTAGAAGAAAGAGGAGGAGGAGAGAAGAAGAGAGAAGAAAGAAAGGAGGAGGAGGAGGAGGAGGAGAAAGAAGAGAGAAGAATAGAGAGAAGAAGAAGGAGGAGGAGGAGGAGGAGGAGAAAGAAGAGGAGAAGAAGAGCAGAAGGAGGAGGAGGAGGAGGAGGAGAAGGAGAAAGAAGGAGGAAGAGAAAGAGAAGGAGGAGGAGGAGGAGGAGAAAGAAAAGGAGAAGAAAGAAAGAGAAGGAGGAGGAGGAAGCAAGCTCCCCGGCTCTGGTCCAGTCTCTCTCTCTCTCTCTCTCTCTCTCCTTCTCTCCCTCTCTTTCTCCCTCCCTCTCCTCCCCCCCTCTCTCTCTCCTCCTTCTCCCTCTCTCTCTCTCTCTCTCCCTCTCCCCCTCCTCTCTCTCTCTCTCTTCTCTCTCTCTCTCCTCTCTCTCCTCTTTGTTTCTCCCTCTCTCTCTCTTTGTTTCTCCCTTCTCTCTCTTCTCCTTCTTTCCTCCTCCCTCCCCCTTCCTCTTCTCTCTCTCTCTCCCCCTCTCTCTCCTCTCTCCCTCCCCCTCTCTCTCTCTTTCTTCCCTCCCCCCTCTCTTCTCTCTCTCTCTCTCTCTCCTTCCTCTCTCTCTCTCTCCATTTACTTTATCTTCCTGACGAGTTCCTGTTGCACATACACACACACACAAACACACACACATACGCACACACACACACACACACACAGGCACACATACCACAATTCATGTATCCTCCTTACCAATTCCAGATCCCTACATGGCTGATATGCCATAGTCATTGGCGATGCAGTCCTTCTTGGAAGAGATGGAGACCCTCGAGGTTCCCGTGTGGACGGCCAAGGACCTCCTTGAGAAGACCAGGGACTGCACGGCCACCAGCCTTGGCTCGGGATTCTTCGGCCACGCGCTGCTGTACTCCGACGCCCGCGGCAGTTTCGTGGTGAAGTCGATTCCATTCTTCAACGTGGACACCTTCTACGTTGAGGTGAGAGCGCTGGCCAGAGTCCGGGGCATCGACGGAGTGTAACAACTGTAGGGCATCATGGTCGAGGGCGACCTGGCCATCGTCAGCACTTATTCCGGCACTACGCTGAGAAAGTGCCTTGATAGTCGACTCCTCTCGACCGAACACCTTATATCAGTGTTAGTATAATTGGAGCTCGCCCTCGAACGCCTGAATGAAGTCGGCGTGTCGCACAACGATATACACCTGAGCAACGTGTGCGTCCTCATGGGCGACGAGGAGACTGTGCGAGCTACGATAATAGACTTCGGATTAGCCTTGTTCGAGAATAATCCCAGGTACGAAAAATAAAAAAGAAAAGATGCGGCGGCCCTAAAAACCCTATAAGACAAATCAGTCAGTGAGTTCCTCTATCAGAAGAGGACACACAGAAGTCCTAAGTAGGAGACCAGGCTGCAGAGCGACGTCTACCGAGTGTACAGTTGTTCACAGAACTAAAAAAACGCCGATTTCGTGAAGGCCGTAGTAAAACCCATGCCTACTAAGTGCGACGACATAATGTCAATCCTGCACACCTACGAAAACGAGGGGACGCCAACCCTCCTGATGAGCGACAGCGACGACGACGAAGAAGGCTGCTCGGCCTCGTCGTCGGATGAGTCCTTGGACGAAGAGAGAAAAGAGGAGGAGGAGACCCAGCCCCTCGTCTCCGGACGCAAACGCTCCTTGTTTTCGTCGAACTTCTCTCCCCTCTCCCCTCTCCCCCTTTCCGTTCCTCTCCTCTCCCCTCTCCCCAGCTCTCTCTTTCCCTTGTCTTCGACCGAAGAGGAGGAGGAGGTCGCCTGCCAATCACCGAAGCGTCGCCGTACAGACGCCCTTCTTTTCTGATAAAAAAAAGAAAAGAAAAGAAAAAAATAACAAAAAAGAAAAGCTTTGGACGCTTTACCGTATCCTAGCTGTGTGAGATATGAAAAAACTATGTGATTACTTCGTTTCATCATCATACAATAGAAAATATAATATATCCTGCATCTACTGTGTAACGTTACCGCTAATCACATATCTATCTATCTCTTTTCTATCCATCGTCCATCAGCATGTATGTATTTATGGTCACAGTGAAGCAGAATATTATCTAATAATATACACGCAAATGAACACAAACATATATATATACACACATATATACATATAAACACGTACACTCATATGCAAACACATACATACACATGTCAAGTCTGGCCACGGAGCCGTACTCGGTCATTTACCCGTGCATGGCGTCGTGCAAGATGATCGAGGACAAGTACGGCGTCCTGCTGCTCCGGCCGGCGCGGTGCGAGGTCGACCTTGAGCTCAGGGGCGGACTGGAGGCCGTCAGCGGGGCCACGCGCGCCCTCGTCGTCCTGGCGGTGCGGGCCGAGTGGAGCTACAGTTATCAGAGGCGGTTCTCTCAGGCCATCTCCAGGAGCCGGTATGGTGGGTGTGTGTGATCCGTCGGCAGGAGAGGGAGCCTGGCGGCGCTTGGGGACCGCCCGCCGCCCGCCCGCCGCGGTCGCTCGCTCAGGCCAGGCGGCGGCACGGTCTTGGCGGTGCGGGCCGAGTGGAGCTACAGTTATCAGAGGCGGTTCTCTCAGGCCATCTCCAGGAGCCGGTATGGTGTGTGTGTGATGCCCACTCAATGCCTTAAAGTCAGTAATGGTGCCCTTATCCTCACTGGATGACGTATAAACTGCCTCAGTATCATTCCTCTTCTTACCCTCAGCTACAGTGGTCTGGTCTGGTTTGGCTGACCAAGTATCGAGGATGGTTATAAAACGATGATGGTGATTCAGTGGGTGGGAAGCCATCCTAGAGGGAGGACAGGTGGCGGGAGGTTAGGTTCGAGAAGGCGCTCGAGCGGAGAGGAGGAGGAGAGGCAGCGTGAGAGGAGAAGGAAGAGGATAAAGGGGAGATCGAGCGAGGGAGGGAGAGAAAGAGCGAGGAATCACCTTCACCATCATATATGTTCCCGCGTCGAGATAGAGAGGGGAGAGAAAGAGAGAAAGAAAGGGGAGAGGAGGGAGAGAGAGAGAGAGAGAGAGAGAGAGAGAAGAGAGAGAAGAGAGAGAGAGAGAGAGAGAGAGAGAGAGAGAGAGAGAGAGAGAGAGAGTGCATGCGAGGACGAGGGGGAAACGAAGCCCAAGAAGCAGAGCGTGGAGCCTCCGAGCAAGCGGAGCTATCTATTTTTCCTATTTATCTATTTATCTCATTGCCTTTATCTTTTTTTTTATCCCGTTTATTC